TGCGTGCGTGAGTCGAACATGCGCTAACATCGAGACCTAGGTGTGAGGATAACCAGGATAATTGTTCGTGTGAATGAGGGTTGAGTTGAGGATCCGCGGGGCTGACGACATGCTGCGATAAGGGGAACCCTGTGTGGGGGGATGGAGCGACCGGATTATGTAGTGAGGATCATCACGATTCACAATAACCTTACCACCTCATTAGCCATCACCTCACTTTCAATGAGCCATTTAGTCGTCAACTTGGACCTAGAAGTAAAGAAGGATAAGAAGAATCCGCACTTTTGAACCTCAGAACGTGATGCCCTCGTTTTCATCTCTTTTAGGCTGATTGCTGCGCAGATGGGGTCCACTGTTGTCCTAATGGAACCCGATGCAACGCCGCGTCGGATGGATGCGAACCCGCTGGCGGTCCATGGATCAACCCCTTCTTGCCCGGTTACACGAAGAATGGGTGGCAGAAGTATGAGGGAAAGAGTGCGGATGCTGGCGATGCAGCATTTGCCAATTCAACTGCCCCCAAGGCTGTCTGTCCCGACAAAAACCGGTGTCCAGACACCGCGACGTGCTGCAAGACCAAGTCCGGCGATTACGGGTGCTGTCCATTTGAAAACGTGAGTTCTGGCAAATCTTGATGTGGCACACGATCACACACACCCGGACAGTCGACTTCTTGGGGCATCGCAAGAAGGCAGTGTGGAAGCTGTGCCACTGGTGTGGCTCATCCAGCGCTTTTGTCTCTGTGGGGGCGTTTAATTTTAGTGTTGGGAGTTTGTCCACGCCACAACAACCGCCTTTTACCATCTAGTGTTTCCTAATGATGATGATGATTCCCCTAGAGACCGTCCCTCCCCCCTGCCCACTAACCTTCCTAAAATTAACTCCGTCGCAAAACGTGGTCTAATTAGAATCTATTTGGTTGTGGTTCGATGATTTTAACACCAACGACAAACTGTCTCAATTTAGCATAATTTTTTCCTCCTTGTCGCCTTTTAGGCTGTCTGTTGCAACGACCGCGAGCACTGCTGCCCCCACGGTTTCACCTGTGACGTGAAGCACCAGCGATGCCGAAAACCTCGCGACGCCGTGGCGCACACCGCGCCGACGGTGTCCGCGGACGATCGAGTGATGTGCGACGACTCTACCTTCTGCCAGGGGCCCAACGCGACGTGTTGCCGCGGCGCCGATGGTGGCTGGGCTTGCTGCCCTCTGCTCAGGGCAAGTTCTCGGTTTGGTGTTACTAGGTGTATGACTTAACTTCTGTGGATTGTTTTTAGCAAATTTATAGAGCAAAAAACGACGACGAATTCACGCACACCGTTCAGCCTAAGGAACCAGGTCTGGTGAGTGGGTGCTAGAACTTCCCTTCTAAGCACATCAGCCAGCATTTGGAATTGTTTGTTCACTAGGGCAAGCTGATCCACTGACCGGATCAAATGGTGGTCAGGTGGGGCCAAATCTGGTGTGGCAGAACTTGCCATCCCAAGTTCAAGAGGGCCTTCTGAGTCGTGAGATCGAGCGCTGTTGCGCAGCAGCAGTATGACTTGCCTGCTTCCTTGCCCACTAAATAGCCTTTTCTGCTCAAATTCTTCTCTCAATTATGTTCAATTGTCGGTTGTGGCGTTGCGCAGTCACCGTCTGACGACCAGTTCCCAGGAGTTCGCGGTAAAGTACACCCTTCAAGTCCCACCACCAGATACACAGGCGACCTTTCTTCTTCATGTTGATTTCCTGCTTTGTCGTCGATCAACCCAAGACGTTTTAGGTTTGAGTTTCTCGTAACAACCATCTCGATTTTCCACAAGAAGTCATTTTTTGCTGCCAGCGGGCACGCAGTGAAGGAAGTTGTCTTCGATTAACGCATGTTTGGGAGGAGGGGTGACCCAACTTCCAGGTTTTTGAATTCTTCCCATTTGGTCGTGCAAACGCCTAGAAACAGCTGTTTGGGTGACGCCTAACTGAGCTGTTGGCTCTCGCTGATTCATCATCCACTAGAGCTTGCAATTCCGCGTCTTCAAGATCAAAATCACCATTTCTAAAACGTCTGTATCAACTATTTTCACGTTTCACCGCCACTACAAATTGATTCCCTCCATACTTTAGAAGCAGTTTTTTTACTTGATGGAATTCGTGTAAAATGCCGTGCCATTGAAAGCGTTCTGAGGGGCAATGAGACTTGTCACACACCCACTAACTTGGTAATTTTCCCTCCTCAAACTATGATTGGTCCGTTACCGTGGTAGCTGTCACTGTAAAAGTTGTAGCGGATTAACAGCTATCGCGCCTGATGGTGACAATGACAATGACTCATCTCTCATTTCATTGTTTACTGTTATCAGACGCCTGTCATCCGCTCACTCATCCAAACGCTAAGACAGACACTGGGCTGGCGTGACGCTAGCAAACGGTCGTGTCCTCTGTCGCCTCTCTTCTCGCCATTGTCGGGTTGTTACGGGCTGTTAACCAAGGGGGTTGTAAGGTAGTGCTTAGACCACAAGCCACTAGGAAGTCTTGAGTGTCCACGAGCCAGGCACCCTAGCGAATATGACTCTCCATCTTCTGCAGGCGGTGTTCTGTGCCGACCAGGAGCACTGTTGTCCCGACGGCTACAGCTGCGACCCCCTGGGATTCTGCGTGGACGCCCTCAACGACGCCCCCCCAGAATTCCTCCCCTGGCGGTCCAAGGTGCCCGCGCAGCAGTTCCCCATCCAGGGTGTGCGGTGTGACGACGGCGTTACAACCTGCCCGGACAACACCACGTGCTGCCAGATGCCCGACTCGTCCTACGGCTGCTGTTTCATTCCGAGGGTGCGTGCCTACTTATGTCGGTGTCAGTAGTATTCCCTTTTTGGTCTGAACGATGGGCTGACTGTTGTAGGCCGTGTGCTGCTCCGATCACCTGCACTGTTGCCCGGAGCACCACCACTGCAACCCCGCCCAGTCCTTGTGCGTGCCCGATGCGGGCGGAGAGCCGACGCCCTGGCTGTTGAAGGCTCCTGGATGGCGCTCCGCGCCTCCTCCTCCTCCTCCTCAAGTCCGCGTCTGCGGAGGTCCAGGCGGGCGACTGGGGTGTCCTCTCACTTCAACCTGCTGCCCCAGCAACGGCGATTTCGCTTGCTGTCCCTTCGAAAATGTGAGCCATGTCAACGTAGTAAACTCGAATCCAAATTCCAGAATTTGTTTGGTGGAACTTCACGAATCTTACGTACTGGCTAGCGCCGATTGGTCACCTCAAGGTCATCTCGCTTTTCATTGGCTTAAACTAGTGACTGATTGGACAAACGAGCGGTGTGGGTAGCAGCGACAGCCGAGTTGATAGACGTGAATCAACATGTCTCATTCTCTGTTACCTCACACCGGAGGCAGTTTACACCAAAGTGTTTGGCTAAACGTCGCGGTTTGTGTGTGTGTGTGTGTGTGTCAGCGCTATCACGGACACGGTGGTGTATTATAACCTAGCAACGATGACACATTGTTCACTTAACACCGTCGCAACGCTGCTTTGTCCCCACCTAAGGGTGTCTGCTGTCCCAACCGAAGCCACTGTTGCCCCAGCGGATACACCTGCGAGGCCGGCGGGAAGTGCTTGGCAACCGAGGAGGCCGGAAAGCTGATCGACGCCCAATCCCAGCCCTAGAGTGGTCGTTTTCCGTCCTCCTTCCTTGTGGTGGTACGTCCTGCGCTGATTCGGCTCCTGTGTACCAAAATCAAACTATTCCAGTCTACTTTCGACTCAAACTTAGTCCCCTCTGTTTGGTCTTTGTAGGTACCCGCGATTAGTGTCGTCGTCCATTCGCTGTGTGATTTTCGGCCGCTCTCATTTCAACTCCCCGATTCATTGACTACACATCACACTACACCACCTGTGCTACCCATTTGAAGTTTTTACCTTTTTTTCTCTTTTTTAAATTGTGCTCTCCATTTACAAACAAGAAACGCTCGTCTTGGTTTTTTCCACGGTTGAGATGGTGTCGCATTCATAGCGTGAGTTCTTAGCGCCTTCAAAATATCACCCTAAGCTAATGCAACCGACACTCTTTGACTAGATTTGGTTGATGGGAATGCGTGTGCTGGAACTCGTAGCACTTTGAGCGCGATTGAGGGATGTCGTAGGGCTAATTTGCGGGCTCGGCTCCTTATTGGTGCGTTTTGATCGACGCGGTGACCTTGACACTAGTTCAAACTCGTTTTTAGCCAATTGGGGTTGCGATACTGCATTCCTCTGGTTGAATGTGGTTCAGCATAGGAAAGTAGCGGAAGTTATCAGCCTGACGGTGCGAAATAAACCGATCCATCTCGACAGGAAGTGGTGAGTCATGTAATCTATGCAAACTTGATTTTCATCCTTGACAACCACCAGTCTAAGTAGTGCGAGGTCTAACAATAATCAGGTGCTTATTGGCTTGTTTTCTATCTATTTATCCAAACTGTCACCAATTAGAACTCAGCACGAAACCACTGATATAACCCAGTCGTTCAATTTGGCAAGATATTAGTTGCGTAATTTTTACCACACATCTGATGATTAGGGGGTATAGCTATATACTCCTCGGTCTAAATCATCTGCAGACACGTCAGCCTCAATGGTGTAGAGCCCTAAGTACCATCGCGAGTCCTGGTTATTTTTAAGAAGAACGCGAAAAGATGGTCTTCTGAACTAAAATTTTTCAATTATTTTTGACATTTAAGTGAGAAAATTCAGTGGTTTAGAAGTAATTCTAGTTTAGATCGGGGACTTGCAAACTACAAGTTAACAACGTAGGAGAGAATTAGTGCGTTAGCTCTTAACAAGGAAGAATCTTAACTTCGGCCAAAATGACAATTGTCTACTTGTCAGTTAAGAATTCACGTCAAACGAATTCAAAATTCACCTAAGCAACGCCTTGAGGTTTAACGTAAACACTATGGTTAGTAAATTTATCAAAATATGTGTTTGACAGCCCTTGAATACCGAGTCAAGATGTGTTCACAAACCAATGAAAAACCTTGAACTGATAGCTAAGATTTTTTGTCTTCAAACAAACCTGTTTTTATTTCTAATTGCCAAGCCTTTGCATTAGTTAAATTCTGACAACAAATAATTTTCGGGTGTTTTTAAACTGTTTTTAATCAGGCAAATGTCATATAAGACTGTTTTAGGGCTAACATTGACGCTATTTTTATAATGTCGCATTTTGGCATCATTGTAACTACCTCGTGGGTTGTCGTGTCACGTGCGGATGTTTCGATTTCAAATTCAAATGAGCGCCAAGTCAAGAACACAAAAAATCGATAAATCCCCAACACTTAGCAGCGGCCGAAGAGCGTCACTACGCCAGTTGCAGTGCAGTTTTTGCCTTTCGACAATTCAACGCTTGCTTTGTGCACCTAGTTTTATTTCCTTTTAGTTACAAAAAAATGGACGATCAGAAGCAACTCCAGCCGTGTTTAGATGAGGCTGAATTAGCACCTACGACCCCAGAAACCGTGGCTGACGGGGAGGAGATTTCGCCGCCTCAAGAAGTCATCGAGTCGGAGTGCCCAGCCGAAAAAAAAAAGATTCGCATTTTAACTTTGCGTGCCCACAGAGTCCACAGCAAACCCATGAGTGCACAACCATCCGCATTCCTCATCTTGAACTGGAGAACCTCGAAGCCGCCTGTTCTGACAAGAGCGGCAAGAAGATCGATCCACGCAAGTGCCATCTTCTTCATCAACTCATGGACCTGCTCGTCAAGCTGAAGCAGAACGCAAGAGAGGACAGCTGTGATGCCGACGAGGCAGCACCTTGCTGTGATGACCGGCCTGAATCCATGGCTCTAAAGCAGCGACTTTCAAATCCATGTCAATCCACCAGAGGTGGATGTGGACAGCCGACCTCCCAGTGCAACTGTAAGTCTGTTACTTGTACTTGCGCTTCAGCTGCCGAGCCAGTGAAACCGGCTATCAAGGAGGACAAGGAACCCTCGATCCACGAAGCCGAGGCATCAACGATCGAGCAAACGCCACCAGATCACGACGCAGAGTTAGATCGACCTGAAGCCTACGAATCATCCCTGGCTAGACTGGGTCGGTGTGAAAGCTGTCCGACTATGCAACGTGCAGAGTCCTCGTGCGCAGAAGACAAGGGTCCTTGCAAACATGCTGGAGGCTGCGCCGACAGAAGATGTAGACACATGAACCCGATGTCGCTCGGTTGTGGCAGGCCCAGTTCCACCATGAACTGTCGCAATGCCACCATACAGACAGACGTCAATGGACTCGACTCGAAGGAAGACCATTCGATCAGCTGCGGCGTCAATACGCCAGTGCGGTTGTCCAAGAAACGACTGAGTGCAGCAACCTACCCGCCGAAGCGATCATCTCGACGAAGCAGCGACTCCGCAAAGGTCAGGAGTTCCGGTTCCAAGAAATCGAAGTTTCCGTCAACGCATTCGCGATGTTCCAAACGACTACGAGGATCGAGTCATCATACCTCCGCGCCTTCCCGAGAACCGTCTACGAGGAAGTCAAGTTTGCAACAGTCGAGTCCGCAGCATCAAGCTAGCCTGTCGACAAGTTCGCTGGCCGAATCAGTGTCCGACGAGGCGTCTAAGAAAACCGACGAAATAGTGAGGTCATGTCTGAAGCAGGATAGACCGTGCCGACAGTCGTCGCTGGATCCAGCAGATCTGGCTTCTCCACTGCCACCTCGAAACAGCTTCCAGCACTCCAGCAGGGCATCCAATGAGTCTCTACAGGTATCACCTCTTCCGAGTCCACAGATTCGTGCTTCAATGCCATGCTCTAGTCCAGCATCTCCGTGCATGCCGCCTCGTCCAAGTTGCCCGAGCTTGTGTCCCAAGCCTCGTGCGGACCCGTATCCGTGTGTCCGGTCTTTCAAATCACCTCCATGTTTACAACAGTGTACTTCAATATCGCGTTGCGTCCGACGCGAGTGCGATGTGATACGCTTTCCCAAGCGCAACTCCGTCGACGAGTGCTCTATTTCAACGCAGAAGATGGGCACCCCGAGATGCGAGCGACCGTGTTCACCGTGCTACACTCCACGAACTTGCCCCAGTCCATCGCACTGTTCAGCACGACCAATGACTCCCTACCGTCCAACATCCCCAGCAGCCATCAGTTCGTGTGGACCGTGTCAGCGAAGAATGTCCTGTTGCACGCCTCCGGTTCAAATTCGAAGACCCTCTTCCTCATGCTCCTCCAGCTTTCCAAAGCCACAGAGATCCATGTCAATGTGCTGTCCTCAGATGCCGCCGTGTTTCAAGCCGCCTTGCTCGGGGTGTCCCGGAGTTCCACGGACTTCTTGTTCATCGACCCCCAAACCGATAAAGGCTTGCCCTGGTTTTCCTTACTGCCCTCGAAAACCGCCGTGTCCACCGTTTTGTGAGATTCAGCCGTCGCTCAATTCGAACGTGGACCAAGCCGACAAGCCACCGAAACCGACTTACAAGTGTTCGTTATAAACGTCCATGGTGTGAATCCTTACCCGATAGCTTCTAGCACAAGTCTGGCATTTGCCGCGCGCCTTAATACCCACTCTTTTAAGCTACCTTGAAACGTATGACTGCATTTTTTGTGTCCACTTAAAATTTCTGTTCCTTTTTTATTTCAAATATACTACTATTTGCACACAGAGTAGCTTCTGCGTTGTGTTTCGGTGTAAATTTTGCGCGTTGTTTTTTGTTGGAAGTTTAAATGCACCCTACGATTGGCTTGTTTTACTAGGGCGCGCCAACCAAATCAGCCAATGTGCGAAACCTACAGTGAGCCCTGCATTTCTCCGCCGCCGAGTTGCCCCAAGTCGTGCCCAGCAATCACGCCGCCCCCCAAACCGTGCTGTACTCCACCGGTCACTTTTGTACGGTCAATGTCATGCTGTCCGCCGCCATGTCCCAAGCCCTGTCCTAGTCCGCCACGGTGTCTCTCCAGTCGGTGCATCAGTCCGAAGCGCTGCTGTCCCAAACCGCCA